CTGAAGCAACAACCTCCAGGGTGAGCCTCTGGGAATTAGCTTCCCAAGCGATTGCCCTGGGCTGCCCGAGGCCCCAGCCCCCGCTGCAGGGTCCAGAGCTGCCTCCCCACGATCAGCACCCTCAGGGCCTCTGCCTTCCCCTCCTCTCCTCAGCCCGTGGCCGGGGTCTGAGGGTCTTTCACGAGTGGGTCAGACCACATCCTGAGCCCCACACAGAGGCATGTCATTTGGCTTTCTAGTCTGGCGTGCTAGACGGTGGGTGGGATGGGCCTGTGGGGTGTGCCAGGGGGAGATGGGTGAGGAGGGGGCACTTGGGAGAAATTTTCGGGGAGCTCCCATCAGAGTGAGTTAGTGACAGGGTGAATGGAGACTTGGCTGGAACCCTGGTCTGTTCATTCGGGTGCCCTCCGTGGTGGGAAAGGCTGTTCTGGAACATCTGGAGGAGGGAGGCACGGTGCTCACCTGATCACAGAGGCACCTGCTCTTTGCCTGCATGTGACCCTGCCTCCTGTTTAACTTTCAGTGACTCCACTCGGAATGGCTGGTTAATTGTGCCCTAGCCCCTCGCCCCTCGCCCCTCACCCCTCGCCCTGGCTCCTTCACCTCCGCCCGTGCTCTGGTGGGTCCCCTGCTTGCCTGACACAGACCTGCTGCTCCACTGGGTGTCCGACTGCTCTGGAGTGTTAGCTCTCTGGCCTCCAGGAAGTGGGGTCCTGGCGCCTCCATCATTGGTGTCCCCAGATGTCCATCATCCACCTGGATGATGTTTGGACATTGAGGGTCATAGTTAGACTGTTCCCACTGGAAGAAGTCACGCCGTTCTGCTGGTTCACCCGCAGAGAAAGGAGTATGTTGTAAAACCGCAGGTCTAGTGCAGAAAGCTGTCAGGCTCCATCCAGGGAGGTGGGACCAGCTAAGCTCTGGTTGCCGAGGCCGTACGGTCCCCGGGCCACACGGTCCCCTCCTCCTCTCTTGGCAGACTTGGCCCCCCAGACCCTGAGACCCTCCATTGTCTGCCGACGGGCCCGTGTGGAAATCCCAGTCACGGGCCGCCTTGTGGAGCGTGGGCTGTAGCAGGTCCAGCGGGCTGGCCTGGTCACCTTAGGGTTATATCTTTAGAGGCTGTGGGTGGGGCGGGCATTCTGAAATAAATCCACGTTGCTGGGGAATGAACCAGGTGGGGAAAGGTAAAACCAGCTTGTTGTAACCGTGGCCGTAGCTACAGTTCATTTCCATGGGCAGCTCAGGCCATGTTCTGCCGCTGACTGTTCTGCCTGGTGTGACTGTGTCAGACTAGTTCGGTTGTGTGTTTCTGTTTCATCAAATCTGACCCACTGGTTGTACGATGCACTCCACTGTTTTTAATGTACCAAGAGGAAAAAAAACATGCCAATTCAGCTCTGACATGTAGCATTCTCATCACTTAGCGATGGGAGTTTTATCGAGGTTAGAAGAGAGCCCTCTGGGGTCTATTAGACGGTTCCCAGGTCACTGTGCGCAGGTGTACACAGGAAAGTCAGGTGAAGCTAGCCTGTCCCGGGGCTCCTCACACTTCCCGAGAAGCAGCGTGATGGTGGCTTTGCTTTCCTTAATGTCAGTCTGCGTTCAGAGTGTGAGTGGCGTCTCCATTTTGTCCCCGGAATTCTCTTCCGAGCCAGTGACACCTTCCTGGCGGTTTAATGCTGGTGCCTCTGGGGGAGCGTCTGGCACTGATGCCGCAGCACAGACCTCGCACGTGGCGGAGCGGCACACCGGCCAGAGCAAGCGCCGTCCCAGGGTGACGAGAGGTCGGTCAGGAGCTTTAATGGGGGTGACCATTTCCAACTCTGAGGGCTGCTGTGAGAGTCCAATAAAACACATGCTAAGAGCTAAGAGCAGTGCCTGACTCGCAGCCTTCAACAAACATCGACAGCTGTTATTATTATTTGACAGTTCACAGTGGAGCCAACTCCACTTTAGAGGCGAGGAAGTAGAATTTCAAAGAAGTGATACAGCACTTGGCTAAGATGAGCAGCTTCAAAGAGCAGAACTGGGAGAACCCCGACCTTGAGTGTGGCCGTGGTTGCTGAGAGAGGTTCCGGTCACAGCTCAGGCTCCTCACTGAGTCTAACGTCTCACCTGCTACCCTCTGCCAGTCCAGATCGCTAACCGCTCGCAGAACAGGGGCCATGATGCAAGGCCCTCCTTTGCAAAGCACCGCGTGGTGCCGTGGGACACAGCCTCTGGGCCATTTGGCTGTGCCATGGTGGACCCAGTGTGCACCTCCAAGACTGACTCGCAAAGCCAGGCACAGGCCTGGGGACTGGGCCTGCTGTGGGAAGGGGGAGTGTGATTGGCCTGTCACAATGCAGGCTGCACTGGCAAACACATTTCCTCAGTGAGGCCTGACAGCAAAGCCGTAGTTTAGCATTGTGTTCGCATTACCAGTGCCATACGTGACATTCTTTAGACTCTTCTTAATGAGAAAAGTAGTAAACATTAACTTGAAAAGACTCACGTGGTCAGGACAGCTGAAACAGACAAGGCCTTGCCCGTCTCCATCAGTAGCTTCGCTCCATCCGGCAGGGATTCTCCAGGGAGGGGAGGCGCCAGGGCTGCGCGTGGATGGGGTCCCCAGGAGGAAAGGGAGGGGGCCCCTGAAGAGGGCTCCTCCGCTGGGACTGCAGGCAGAAAGGTCTCCCTGGACTGAAACAGCTGCACTTCCGTCAGCCTGTGATCTCGCCCCTTTGAAGTGGAAAGCTCCATCCAGCAGGGTCCCAGGGAAACTCCTGGTTGACCGGTGACTCCTGCTGGCCCCCGGCAGCAGTGGGAAGGAGGGTCCTGGAGGAAGGTTTGTGATTCTTACCTGACGCGGTTCCCGCTATGGTCGGAACGCGAGCACCCGGATTCCTGTGAGCTCAGCCCCGTGGGTGGAATTCTGAATGGCTCCTTCTGTAGGCACACTCTGTGTTTCCTGTAAAATGGCTCCTGGTCATTTCTCACAGGAAGTTGGATTTTCACATACTATTAAGTAAAAACAGATTCTGTTTTTTATTTCAAAAAAGGGTCCCAGGACCATTAGTAACCATATTTGGCTGTTTCCTTGATTGTACAGGGAGAAGACATCCATTATCAGAAAAAAAAGTTGTGCACTATATGTACCAGCTATGCAGGGCCCTCGATCATATGCACAGGTACGCTCCGGAGACGCGGCAGCTCCAGGGTAATGGGGTGTATTAACAGTCATTAGGAATGCAATGTACAGGCATGTGAATGAATGAGGTACAATTAATTCTATCCTTCCTTTTATATTGAATGCAGAAATGGAATATTTCACAGAGATGTAAAACCAGAAAATATATTAATAAAGGTAAGGGCTTTTATACGAAAAGTTGATATCAGAATAAAGGTAGAATGTAAAACTTTTTTTAAAAAATATTTTTATTGATTTCAGAGAGGAAGGAAGAGGGAGAGAGAGATAGAAACATCAATAATGAGAGAGAATCATTGAGCCAGCAACCCGGGCATGTGCCCTTGACCAGAATTGAACCCGGGACCCTTCAGTCCCCAGGCTGATGCTCTATCCATGAGCCGCACTGGCCAGGGCTAGAATGCAAGATTTTTCACTGGTGCTTTTAGTCCCAGTAACTGGAGACCAGGCTTGCAATAGGATTTTTCTCCTCATGCAGCTTGGAAAGTGGTTTATTTAATAAATGTCATCAATATAGCCGTACATCTGGAAGGAAATAATTGTAGGTACTCTCCTCACACTATGTACGAAAACAAACTCCATTCCCATGATCACCGCAAACACTCGAAATAGAAAAGTGGAAGAATCAGGATTCGGGCAGGTCTGTCTTCCTCCAAAGCCACTAAACCAGTGATGGCGAATCTTTTGAGCTCGGCGTGTCAGCATTTTGAAAAACCCTAACTTAACTCTGGTGCCGTGTCACATATAGAAATTTTTTGGTCTGTGCAATCATAGTAAAACAAAGACTTATATTTTTGATATTTTGTATATCTAAATGCCATTTAACAAAGAAAAATCAACCAAAAAAATGAGTTCGAGTGTCACCTCTGACACGCGTGTCATAGGTTCGCCATCACTGCTAAACCGTCCTCACAAATCCAGTTAATGGACAAGCCCATCACCCCGACAGTGTCCTCCTGCCCTGTCCCCCTGCAGAGTGAAGGACTTTCTGTTATTATAGAATTAGTTTGCGTTTTCTAGAATGTTCTAGAAATGGAGTTAGATAGTATGTACTCTTTTTTTGGTCTGGCCTATTTCACTTTGAAATCGTCCCACAGTTGTTAGGTGTTCTCTTCTGTTTTTCCGTTCTTTTTTCTCTGCCTTTCAGTTTGGGTTGTTTCTGTTGGCCTATCCCTCAGCTCCCTGAATCTCTCCCTGGCTGTGTTTGGTCTATCGATGAGCCCAGCAAAGACATTTTTTATTTCTGCTAATTTTATTAAATTTCTAGTGTTTCCTTGTGATTCATTCTTAGAGCTTCCATCTCTCTGCTGACATGTCCCACCTGAACTTGCATGTTGTCTACTTTTTCCATTAGAGCTCTTCACAGGTGAATCACGGTTATTTTATTTTTTAAATATATTTTTATTGATTTCAGAGAGGAAGGGAGAGGAAGAGAGATATAGAAACATCAATGATGAGAGAAAATAATTGATCGGCTGCCTCCTGCATGCCCCCCACGGGGGATCGAGCCCACAACCTGGGCATGCGCGAGGCTGCAGTCATGGGCAGCATGTATTTTGTTACCTGAACGTGAGGGTGAAGAAAATGGAAGGAATATCCCGAAACCCGTCTCCCTCGTCTGTCTGACTTGCCCGAGTGGCGCTGGGGCGTCTGACTGTGGTGTGTGACTCGCTTGTAGACTCACACTGGGACTTAGCTTTTCCCAGGATCTGCAGACATTGGGAAACCGTTGTGAAACATGTTCCCCTGAATAGAAACACCACTTCCTCACCTGTCAGGGTCAGGGTTAGGGTAACTGGTATTTTACAAGCCAGGTTAGATGCTAGTCGTTTTCCCGTTAGTGCATAAACATTTGAGATGGCTTATATTACAACGGCGACTCCATGAGACGTCATTTGTCCCCGCTTTTCTCCCCCCTGCAGCAGGATGTCCTGAAATTAGGGGACTTCGGGTCCTGCCGGAGTGTCTATTCTAAGCAGCCGTACACGGAATACATCTCCACCCGCTGGTACCGGGCCCCCGAGTGCCTCCTCACTGACGGCTTCTACAGCCACAAGATGGACCTGTGGAGCGCGGGCTGTGTCTTCTACGAGATCACCAGGTAGAGCCGCGCAGGCTCGTGTCCGCAGGCCGCTCGGGCCAGTGCACGTCCGTGTACACGTGCTGACGCGGTCACACGGCAGGCCTCACGCCAGGCCCTTCCTTCACAGCACGATTTCTCAGTCATCCTGAGGCTGTGACTGCTTTGAACTTAACAGAATGTGTTTTGTCAACACTTTTCCTTACTTGCTGGTGATGGGGAACAGAACACTCGCAGCCCAGCCCTGGGCCTCTGCTTTCAGCTTCATCAGTGAAATGATCGATCACCAAGCTAGGAACCGAGTGGAAACGTGCTTACTGCCACCTGTGGGGCCCGCCGGCAGGGGACAGGGGTGTGGGGGTGGGGTGGGGGTGAGCCTGGCCCGGCCCTGCCCTGGAGGTGCAGGTGTATCCAGCAGGATTCTCTGGCCACCTGGCAGCGTCCCAGTCCTCACCATCCTCCAGCCCCATGCCCTGCCTTCGGGCTTCACCGCTGGAGGCGGCGTGGCCTGGGAAGAAGGGAGGAGGTGAGGAGGGTGTGGGGGGAAGCAGCCCTCGAAGAGGGTGGGCACCCCCAGGCTCACAGGTGTTGTTAAGGACCAGGGTGCATTTAATGTCTGGGTGATGCATCAGACAGAGAGACCAGCATAGGCAGGGACCCAGGTCCGCTCCCACCTGCTCAGCTGACGGCTTCATGAATCCAGGCATGTGTTCACACCTTAATGGTTAGTTTTTGAAAGCTGAGTTGCGATTTCACTGACGCTAAAAGTGCCAGCAGACCACGCTTTCTCTTGTGCTAATGAAATGCCATGAATTAATTTGGAAGGATGTTGCAGGACTTCGGTGTCGAGAACGGCCAGGATGAAGGGGACTGTCCTAACCACAGCCCCTGTCACCTTCTTCCAGTCTGCAGCCCCTCTTCCCTGGAGCCAATGAGCTGGACCAGATCTCAAAAATCCACGACATCATGGGCACACCTGCTGCGAAGACCCTCACCAAGTTCAAACAGTAAGTGCCCCGTGCTCTCAAGGGCCCCGTGTGGACTTGTCCCCCTGCCAGGGCTGGCAGCACGGGGGGGTGGGGCCAGGCTGCCCTCTGTTGCCGGTGCAGCCCTCAGTCCTTGGGGCCCCCTGGGGGTCCGAGAGGGATGCTCTCCCTCCAGCATCACACAACAGTTACTCCCGTCTTGCCGAGGCCTGGCAGTGAGGTTCTGTCGCTGAATATTTACACTCTTGCACAGCACGTGGACGCCTTTGGGAGAACGAGGTTCCCCGGCACCGGCTCCGTGCGTGCGGGGAGGAGCAGCCGCCCCAGCACTGCCCCACACGGACACCCGACCGTTCGGATTGTGTGCTGGTCAAAGATGAAGCTCAGCGGGGGAGTGGGGCTCCCAGGGAGGCCCCGTGGGCTGAGGGTGGCAGCGCCCAGCAGCTGCAAGACCTGGGAAGGCGAGGCGACAACTGTTTGGGATTCTTTCTTCTTCTTTTTTAAACTTTACTCCCTTCTTCTCAGCTGGAAATGTGACGTCAGTCTCTGACGAAGAGTACTTTTCTCCATTTATAGCGTAACAGGTTTCACCACCACCACCCTTTCTTTAAGTCTAAGACCTGAGAGCAGTTTGCCGGTCACAGCACAGCTGAGGGGAAAGGACAGAGGTTCCCATATAGCGCTGGCCCTGCACGCACAGCCTCCTCGCCGTCGGCACCAGAGGGGCGCGTCTGTTAGAATGACGAGCCGCATTGACCTGACCCGGCATTGTCCCCCGAGGTCCACAGTTCCCACGAGGGGCCACTCTTGGGTGGCACCATCTGTGGGTTTGGACCCTGTGTATTCTGCCCCTTTAAGTCACAGACTGTTCCCCCAGTGCAGGTCCCTGTAGAGTCGTGACAATGGCATGATTGTTTATTATCATTGGGCTTTTAATACAGGTCGAGAGCTATGAGTTTTGATTTTCCTTTTAAAAAGGGATCAGGAATACCTCTACAGACAGCCAATCTGTCCCCGCAATGCCTCTCCCTCCTGCACGCCATGGTGGCCTATGATCCTGACGAGAGAATCACTGCCCACCAGGCCCTGCAGCACCCCTATTTCCAAGAACAGAGGTGGGTGGTCTGGATGACTTGGGGGCAGGTGCTGGCTGCTGAGACGGGGGCGGGGGGGATGCGGTGGGCCGCCCAGCGGGGTCCCTGGACAGCTCTCTCTGTCCTTTTCTGGAATATCTCCCAGAAGGGGCTGTTCGCGGCGCCATGGCAGGGCATGGGAGGGCTCTGTTAAGACTGCGGGAGCCCGCCCGCACCATTGTGAACGCTGAACTCGCTGTAAGGTCTGAGCACGTGGGCATACCTGATTTGGAAGTACATGCTCTGAGCTGTCCGACTCCACACCTCTGTCCACTCCTGCGTGTGACCGTGGAGATGACATCTGACCCAAACCTCGAAGCTGGGGCAGGGGTGGGGGCCTGGGGCAGGGGAAAAAAAAGGAAAAAAGTCCTCGGATAGTTCACGTGGAAAGTAGAGCGGTGACCGCCATGACGAGCACCTCTGGAGACAGGGACAGCAGCTGTGCGCGGGTTCTCAGTGAGGCGCCCGTCTTCCCCCTTGCAGGGCCGCAGAGAAGCAGGCTCGGGGCAGCCACAGAAAAGCGGCACCGGAACTGCTCAGTAACAAGTGGCAGATTTCCAAGGAGGGCAGCAAGCAGGTACAGCGGGAGCAGTGAGCAGCAGGGTGGGGGGTGGTGTGGGGGGTTGGCTTGCAGCGGACTGCACACCCCAGGTGGCTGGTGTCTGAGGGGAATCCCACCTGCGAGGGCTCCGTTGCCCCACCCTTCCTGCCCCTCTAGCTAAGGGTCAAGGACAACATCTGTGAGCAGGCAGACGAGGGCGCTGGGGTTCCTCCAGCCCAGGGGTCACTCCTTGTGCCCTCAGACCCAGCCAGCGGGGGGCACAGAGAGCTAAACCGGCCCAGGTGACCCAGCTCACCAGTGATCGCCCAGAGCATGCCGTCTGCTCGGCCAGAGCCATGAGCCCCTTGGGCACCAGACGAGCTCCACCCCGTCACAGAGATAGTGTCACACAGCGGCTTAGAAACGACAGCCTCACTTGGCAGCACCTTCATCTTCTGTCCACGTGCCATGTGCTCAGCCCCAGTGTTGCCAGTCATTCAGGTCATGTCCACTTGTCCCTGCTTTTACTGCGTGTCACTGTGCGCTGGGGTGGGGACGCATGTGCACCTGCAGCCAGGCTGCTTTCCAGACTCTGGGTGCCCCGTCCCACCTCCCAGTCTGCCCGGCCCACACGTGTCTGTGAGGCCACAGAGCAAGCGCTGTAGGCTTTGCGACCATAAGGTCTCGTCACAGCTGCCCGCACAGACGATGCTTAAAGGAATGGTGGGGCTGTGTTCCCATAAAACTGTAGATGTTGAAATTTGAATTCCATATAATTTTCACATGCCACGAAAGCATTGTCAACTACAAAAGAGGTAAAAGCCATTCTTAGTTCACCAGCCGCACAAAAGCAGGAGGCAGCAGGTTTGGCTGACCTGGGGAGCCGGCAGTAGGCACCCCCACGGCCTCGGCTTGGCCCCAGTGCAGGCCGGCCAGCCCCGGGGCTGCACCAGGGCCCAGACCCACACGCACCAGCCTGAGGTGCGGACCCCTTGCCTCCGGGTGTGGGGCCACCTCACTTTGGGGTGGCCAGGACACCTGTTGTCTAGTCGCACCTCGTGGTCAAGAAGTTCTTTAGGCAAAAGTGGCACAAAAGAGCCTTCTGTTTCTCCTAATTTCTGTGGAGACACCGTCCGTGTGCTCAGCTGACCTGTGTTTTGTTTCAAGAAACAGCGCCTGAAGCAGGAGGAGAGCCGGCCCCGGAGACAGGGCCCGGCCTACCTGATGGAGCTGCCGCAGCTGAAGCTGTCCGGGGCCACCAAGCTCTCGTACTCCAGCCCCACGCTGCACTCGGTGTTCAGACCTGGAGCGAGCGGGAAGGTGCCGGTGCTGAGACCCCTGAAGTGTGGGGGTGCAAACCAGAAGGTAGCGCCTTATTAGCTCCCCTCAGCGCTGCTCCTGCCGCCGTCCTGGCCTCCACTGAACGTCTGTCATTTTCTTTTCAGACAGATGCACAGAAGGACCTCAAGCCTAACCTGAAGCAGTATCACCTGCCCACTATAGAAAGGAAAGGCAGGGGATACTGAGCAGCGCATCCAGTTCACCTCAGAGCGTCAGTGCGGCTCAGTCCTCCGAGCCCCGGCGTCCAGCGAGCGCAGCCCGCACGCCAGCAGCACGACGGCCTGGCCTGGGGGCCGCCAGCCCCGCTGCTCGCATCCTGAAGGCGCCGAGCTGTATGTTCCGCTCTAATACACGTGTAAACCACCTCCCTCGAAGGTGCCATTTCACTTTTGTAACCAAGACTTTGGGACAGGAAATCTTTTGTATTTTTATATGAATCCAAACAGAAGTTAGAGTTTATATTTGTTATTTAGGCTTGGCTTCCCCGCGGGCTCTGCGTGGGCTTCCAGCACATCGCCAAGAGCATGCAGCACGTGACTGCGTGAGGATACGTGACTTTCATTAAAGAATAGCCCTCGTCACAGTATTTCCTTGTGATACCATTTGCGCTGAACGTGTCACCACCCAGTCCTTTGTTTTAGCTTTTGTGAACAGATGGGGGATTGATCTTGGGAAGACTTGGGTGCGGCTTGATTTTGTTTCACTGGGGAAGCCGTGAGAGGAAGCCCAGGGCTGTGCCCAGTGCCCTGGTGCCGCCCAGGGAGCCACAGCTGGCGTGGTGGTGCTGGGCACGCGGGCAAGCCAAAGCACCAGGCTCTCCTGTGGCCACAGCGTCTGAGCTCCTGAGGCCCAGCTGTCTCCCGTGAGAGAGAATGCCATTTCCTGATGGGTTGGGGGTGCTGAGTTTAGTGTCTGGGGTGCCAACAACAAGCTGGGCACCGAAGAACCTGTTCCTGTGGAGGGGGTGCTGCAGAGATGCCCTGGTGCTGGAGGGCAGGGTGTGGGCCCGGCCGCCGGCAGAGCAAAGATCCTGTGGAGCCCCCGTTTTGGTCATTGTAACCTAATCATTGAGTGTTCCTTCTTCTCATCTTCTCCAACTCACATTTAAAGCAAATTTCTTGAGCTCATTTTTCATCTTCCTGTTCCCTCTTTTAAGACAGATCTGACACCTCTCTGAGCTCCCCTGTGGCTACCAACTCACAGCTGATGAAGCAGAACCAGTGACAGCACAGCTGGGCTGTGGAGGGTGGACGTGGCAGCCACAGGAGGGGCAGCTTGGAATCAGTATTTTACAGGCTCGTGGCAGAGGAAGGGCATGAGCATGGACACAGGTGGGGCCATGTGAGGCAGAGATGCCCACCCAGGGAGGACCGGTTTAAGGCTTAACAGTGACATTCAGAGCTGGGTGACATTCACTCGGGAAGGTTTGGAAAGAGCTTTTTAGACCCACTGGAGACCACAGCAGCTTCAGGGACGGCGCGGTGGGCGTGGCCCTGGGGCGGAGTTCTGGGTCATGTGGGAGCGGAGACAGTTTCACAGACAGGCAGGAGGCCAGAAACAGGAGGTGCTGGGCCCAGCGAGGAAGGGCCAGGGAGATGTGCCAGAGGCGTGAGCAGGTGCTAGGGCTGAAGAGGGAGGGACCTGCAAGGTGGGCAGGCCCACACTGAGTCCCAAAGAGGCTCTCAGCGCACATTTAAGGACTAACAGGTATTTGGGTTTAGAAAAACTGTTACCCCCTTTAAGTATATCCAATTTGAAAAGGTTTTCTGTGTACCTTTCTGAGAGCAAACTCTGCAGATGCTGCTTCTCAGGAAACCCACAGCCCTGACTCCGGAACAGTCGCTGCCCAGGGGGGACAGTGGGCTGGGGGCGCTCCGGGCAGGCCAGGCCCAAGAAGGATGAGAGCTGTCCACCAAATAAGGCCCTTTAGGTTCCCTTTGGCCTCTTGAACAAACAAGCTCTGAAGCCCCCCAGGCCCCAAGGGGCACGTCCCCACAAGCCTGCCTCCACGGAGGGGCAGTGTGGTTCCCTGGCCCACGGAACATCAGTGCACAAGGAAACTTCCACGTTCCCACAGACTGGAGAGCTGGGCTTCCTGCGTGGTGGGCGCTCACACCCACCTGCTCTTGGCTGGGCAGCCAGTCTCCGGGCAGCTGAAGTGGCTCCGGCGCTGTGCCTGTCTGCGGGCCCCGCGTGGGCAGGTGCCGGCCAGGGCTTAGGGCACAGGAGGCCCCCTCGGCTGCCGCCAGAGCCCTGGCAAGGTCTGCCCTCCAAACTGGAAAGCTTGTGGACGGCAAGGCCATTGAAGCCTTTCTGGGCAATGCTGTTAAATGGCTCCCAAAGCACTTGACTTGTCACCACAGAACTCTAGAAGGGGAGAAGTCTCACACGTCCTCGACCCCCATCCTGTCGAACTCGCTCACTCCACACGTCTGCTGAGCTCAGCCGGAGGGGACAGCTGGGGCCGAAGCAGACAGCCCGACTGCTGTTGACTGCAAAAGGAGACAAGTCCAGTTGTAACAGTTGGGTTTTTATACTGTGTGTACATGTATATATTTCACATATACGTGAGATTTTAATTACACTGAATCTTAAAGTAAAAAGCAGGAAAACTTCACTTACTATTTATTTTTTTGGTTAATCTTCACCTGAGGATATTTTATCCATTGATTTTTAGAAAGAGTGGAAGGGACGGGGGCATTGGGGTCGGGGGGAACATGGACCGTGGAGGGGTGGAGAGAGAAACATCCATGTGAGAGAGACACATTGCTTTGTGCCCCGACCTGGGCTGGGGATCCAACCTGTGACCCAGGTATGTACCCTTGACCGGGAATCAAATGACCCTTGGGTGCTGGAGCCAACACTCTAACCACTGGGATACACTGGCCAGGGCTCATTTCTCATTTTTTACTGCAGCCCCCAAAGAATGATTTAAAATAGAAAGCACCTCCTCGGATATGCAGCGAGCACCCTGCCGAGAGCCCTGCTCTGAGTGACTCTTCCCCTCATGATTGGGGTGACATCCGCCTCCCACGTGTGGCTGAAGTGCAGCTCGTAGCTCCTGCATCGTCATACTCCCTCGAGACCCGGTCTGGGTGAGAGTTTCTGAGCAGTAGTAGGTCGCTACACTACAGTTCCACCTGGGGAAGTGGCCCGATTTGGGGATGACGATAAACCCTGCAAACAAAGCAGGTTACATTAATCCAGCAAACAGGGCACTCGGAGGGTCCCAGCCACTCACCTCTCCGCAGTCTGACGCCACTGGAACAGACTCCTGCTGGTTAGGAGCCAGTGTTGTAACAGATCCTCCACGTTCGCCTATTGAATTCTGTCCAGATCCTTCCTGACATTCCTGCCTGGTTGGAACCAGAACCCACGGAACCCAGCTCTGCCTGGATTTTGGGCCAGTTGGCTGGGGGACAATGTGGGCTCTCAGGGCCTGGGTTCCTTGGGACATCACTGGCCTTAAGGTGAGGGGCACCTGCCAGGGGGGCCCTTCCCCACCTTTCCCCAAGGGCCACAGCTCAGGGCCCCAGAGTACTGCACGCCCCGCCCCTCAGAGGCAGGCCCCTGCATTGACAGAGTTTAGCAGCACTTATTTTTATGTATGTATTTATTTAAAAATGTTTTTATTGATTTTTAGAGAGGGAGAGGGAGAGATGGAAACATCGAAGATGAGAATCATTGATGGGCTGCCTCCTGCAAGCCCCGTACTGGGGATTGAGCCCACAGCCCAGGTATGTGCCTTAACTGGGAATTGAACCATGACCTCTTGGTTCATGGGTCTACGCTCAACCACTGAGCCACACGGCCGGGCTCATTCAAATTCTTTGTACCCTCTGAGAACCGTGTAGCCAAGTATGGCTCTGAAACCTCTCTGCTCAGCGGGCAGGAGGGATGAACCCTTCCTGGGTCCTCCAAAAGCCTTCCTAGATCAAGGTCCTTCCGGCGTCCCAGGCTGGCCTCCACCCGAAACCACGGAGAGGCTGGTTTCGAGGCCAACACTAAGGGCCTCTTTCAGGAGATGCACAGGTCCAGAGCCAGCTGTTTTATCGACAGGCAGCCACACATGGGAGAATGGGCTTATATTTTTTTAGTTATATAACTAGTACAAACTATTTTTAAGGATAGAAAGTGTGTCCTTCTGAACTTGCTGCAGACCTAACAGTGTGAAGGGCTCACCACCGACTCCGTGCCAAGGAACGGTACCTGCTCCTGTGGTAGGGGGTCCGAGCAGGGCACTCCGAGGGCGCAATGTCTGGCCGTGCCTGGCAGCTTAGAGTTGAAGGCAGGAGCGCTGAAGGCCCGGAGGACGGTGGCAGGAAGCCTCTGGAGCCACTGAGAGGAGGCTGCCCACCTGGAGGGGAGGCAGACAGCAGGGAGCTCCCTGCCAGCAGCCTTGCCAGCTGTGCTCCAGGCCCAGGCATCTCAGGACACAGCAGGGACTTGACAGGACGATGGGGGCAGCAGGCCCTGCCCAGGGGCCATCTCACCTTTACCTCCCCCGCCCTCTGGGGACCAGCAGTCTACACCTGGGCCTCTTGCCTTGAAGCGCTCAGAGACAGAGGTGCCAGGGTGCTGCTCAGAGGGGCATTTCATAGCAGCACACCACAAACCGCTCCTTCTTCCCCTACAGGAAGCTCTTCCTGTGCTGCAGCCTCAGGCAGGACAACTCCAGCATTTGGTTCCAGAGCCTGGAGGGAACTGCACTCTCCCAGGAAAAGCGCTCCTGCAGCAGCAGCCAGGTTCCCCCACTCTCCCCGCTGCTGGCGGAGGGGGTGAGGGGGCGCTGAATAGAGTGCTGGGGGCTGACCTCTGTGCTCAGCACAGCGCTGGCGGCCCAGGACGACCTGTGTCCTGAAGCGGGCCTGCTCCACAGCTGGCTGAGGTCAGTCCACCGTCCTTCCCCACATAGGACACCCACGACCTCTGATACTCGGAACAAAATTTCTAGTAACGAGAAACAGCAGCAGTGACAAGAGGTAGCCATTCCTGTGTCCGCTTGGTCCACAAACATTACCGGGGCCCTTACTTTTACAGCATGGTCATTGAGGTTTTATAAAGCTTAGCTGTCAGTGACAGGGAAAATTATCTACATTTATAATTCATTCACACATTTATTCAACGTCAGTCCCAAAGGCAACCCCGCAGTCCTTCCGAACGTCCAGTGCGTCAGTCTCTCACTGTCACGGTGAGATGGGGACAGCAAAAACCAAGGCAGGGACACGAACATGGTTTTCTTAAAATGATAAAGTAACAACACTGATTCTAAAGCGCCATTCATTACTGCAACAGTGAAGAACTGAATTTACCAGCATTTCATGTTAGGAAGGCTCTTTGTGAAATTTATTCAAGTTGTCAAGAAATTAGATGAAAATATAAAAAAAGGAAATACAAACAAATTTTACTTTTGATTTTCACTAAAAATAAATATTCATACAATTTTATACAGTGTCACCTAACATAATCTTTAATAAACTTAGGTATACAGAAATAAAATATGCAAAAACTTTTACACTTTTCAATGGAGAGACAGCAATTTATGACACAAACATCATGTAACAGATGCAGCGACGGATGAAGTCA